TATTTGATGGGTTAGGAAAGACAGTTGTAGCAGAAATTCTTTTTTTATAGCAGTCAATTGCTTTTTTCAAGATCTGGAAATGAAGTTATCTGTTGGGTGTTAAAATATTTTTAGGGATAATTATGTTTAAGTGCTACTTGCTCCTTTGCACTTCTAGGAAGTATTGTGGATGTTAACTGTGGATGAACCAATGAGCACCAGCTTTAATACTTTTTGTTTTGGGCGTTGAGGTGTCAAGACTGAGTGGTCCAGCGTGTCTAGTGACAGAGTAAATGCCATGAATGCAACTTTCAGCATTACAGCGACAGAAGAGAAACCATCGGACGTGGACATCTTTGGGAAGATTTGTGTGCCATTGCTCTGGTCTGGACCTCTTCGAAGAGGTTCTTGCCCTTGATAATTCTGAAAGACCGTTAAAGCTGGTATTTGAAAAACAGATGAAAAGCTGATGATGTAAGGACCCAGATCAAAGAAAGATTCTTGTTTTAAATTTTTTTTTTTTAACGCTTATTTATTTTAGAGAGAGACATAGAGACAGAGCACAAGTAGGGGGTAGAGGAAGAGAGAGATGGAGTCACAGAATCCGAAGTAGGCTCCAGGCTCTGAGCTGTCAGCACACAGCCCGACACGGGGCTCGAACTCAGGAGCTACGAGATCATGACCTGAGCCAAAGTCAGACGTTAACCGACTGAGCCACCCAGGTGCCCCCATCACAGAAAGATTCTAAGATGAACTTTCTTCCGCGGGTGACGTGCTGAAACAGTAAATGCTTGAGTCCATCTCACAAGATGGTCTAATCTATAGAATTGACTAGATTTTGTCCTGAAATGGATGAGAAACTGGATGTTTTTTTCCACAGCTTAACTTTTACCTATATACCCTTGATGTAAAATTAATCCACATCAGGAGCCACAACTTAACTGACTTAAATGGACTCAACTCTTGAGATTTGGAATTGTTACTTGTTTTTATTAGCAAAGTAACAAAAAAATGAAAAAAACCTTCGTGAGTTTGTAATAATTTTTTGGCTATGAAATGACACTTCAGATTTATGATATCTGCTTTTAGTAGAATAAATATTTTATCTGTACATGAATAAAAATTCAGAAAATGGTGGTATATCATACTTATTCATATGTAAACGTATGAGTATATTCTCTTTCTCTGTCATTCCTTAGTCTCCCAAAGTGAATTCTTTCTTTTTGACTCAGTTGAATTTTGAGGAAATGTCTCCTAGTGGAGGCAGGATCTGTTATTCTTTAGTGCCTCCATATAACTGCTTCTGATCGCCTGCTTCTGCCTTCAGATCTATTTCATGTTTTAACTTGGGGCATCATTGCATGGTAATTAAGAATACTGGCCCAGCCATCTAACAAACTGATGTTTGAATACCTGCCCAGTAACTTTCTTCCTTCAGCAAATATTTCAGTGCTACTATGTGTCAGATATTATTTTAGGTACTTAGAGAAACCTAGGCTCTAAGAACTTCACTGTAAAAATCCTTCCTTACATAGCTGTGTATAGGATTAAATATGATAATGCACGTAAATTGCTGAGCACATTGCCTAGAAATTGAAACCTATAAATTTTTCCCACCCCAGAACCTATAAGTTTTTTTATTTAAAAAAAAAAAAAAATTTTTTTTTTTACATTCATTTATTTTTGAGAGACAGAGCACAAGTGGGGGAGGGGCAGAGAGAGAAGGAGACACAGAATCTGAAGCAGGCTCCAGGTTCTGAGCTGTCAGCACAGAGCCCCATGTGGGGCTTGAACCCACACACCGTGAGATCATGACCTGAGCTGAAGTCAAACGCCCAACCGACTGAGCCACCCAGGCACCCCAAGAACCTGTAAGTTTATAGAAGCTCTTTCTTCGTATTATTTTCAAATTTTTTGATGATTTGGAACCTCATGGTAAAAATGCAAGTGTAAACAAATGCTCTAAGTTTTAATGTGTCATACAAAGTTACAAACACACAAAGCAAATGATTATCCATGTTTAAAAAGGCTCCTTTGATTTTAAGATGTCAAAAGATAAGCAATAAACTGTGGAAGACTACATTTATTGAGATCAAATAAAACCACAAAGTCAACACCATGTTATGTAATTTTTATTCTTTGCAAAGTAGATTTTAATTTTACTCTTAAGGTCTGCATCTCAGACTTTGAGCTCCATGAGGATAGGAGCGAAGTTTTGTTAATCTTAGTGCACCTCATTTTAGCTTCTAGTAGATAATTGAGTAAATATTCATTAAACAATTTTCTTGAATTAGTTTCAGGATTGACATTCCTCCTTTTTCCATGTCCCATGTAATTAGCATCATGTCCACCACCACACACATTGATAGGGGCGCCTGGGTGGCTCAGTCAAGCGTCTGACTCTTGATCTCAGCTCAGGTCTTGATCTCAGGGTTGTGAGTTCAAGCCGTGCATTGGGCTCTGCACTGGGCGTGGAGCCTACTCAAAAAACAAACAAAAAAACAAACCATACTAATAGGCACAGTAGAAGACACAGATCTTAACAGCCATCATGTAGAACCATTTCTTCTTTTGCCCTCTTATCCATATGTGCCCTCTGTAACTGACCCAGAGTATAGTCTCTCTGGGTCGGTCCATGTTCTAAATCACATTGCCAATTTCCTATTCATACTGGCTCTGAAAATCCTGAACACTGAGTCTCATGTAGCAAAAGCCCTTTCTCTGCTCGGCTTACTGAAGTGAAGGGCTGGGGAGTGTGATAATATGGGCTCTGGTTTGGAATTGGGAATAGTTCTTAGGTTGGAGGATAGCATGTAAAGGAAGAGGGAGAGATTTTGTGGGTCAGAAATCTGGGCGCAGCTTAGCTGAACCCTCTGCTTCAGTTTCTCAAAAGGCTGCAGTCAGGTGTTGGCCAGAACTGGGACCCTTGAAAACCCTGTGGGCTAGGTGTCTAGCCCTGTCCCCCTATAACTTTGGACTCCCCCAAAACTTAACTATGGTAAGTCTACTTGTTGACTAGGAGCCTTACTGATACGTATAAACAGTTGATTTGCATATATTTTATATATGTGTTATATACTGTATTTTCAGAATAAAGTAAGCTAGAGATAAGAAAATGTTAAGGAAATCATAAGGAAGAGAAAACAGATTTACAGTACTGTACATGTATGTATTTATTGAGGAAAATCCACATGTAGGTGGGCCAGGCTAGGGAATAGCGATGTTTCGCAGCCTGGTGGCCTTGGCTCGGCAGGGCAGCTGGAGGGTGGCCTGTGGCGATAGGGGCCTGGAGGCACCCTACAGCTACCCCTTCTGCCTGGAGGTATACCACTAGCCCACGGCCATCGGCAGCTTCGGCCACACGTGAGTGTGTCGGCTGCTGGGAGGCTTCAGGCTGGGTGCTGCCCTCTGGCATCTGGGGCTTGACATCTTGCTGGGAGTAGTTCAGGTCCCGGCTGCCCTGACCCATTGCGAGGACTGGGGTGGGGACTGGGGATCCCCTGCCCCGCGCACACCTGCTTCTGGGCATGTGCTTGTCTGCTTTAGCCTCGCCTCCTGCCCACCAGACCCCAGGCTCCACCGATCACTCACTCAGCACGGGGGAGCCCCAGGAGCTGCTGATGGCCTCCCCAGTACTCAGAGGGCAGCAGGTGTAACCCCTGTGCCAGTCGCCTTTAATTCAGTCCTGCGGAGACTAGAGTGGGCAGTTGTAAATAAATGCCTTGTGGATTTTGCTGGTCAACTCTTAAAAGAAAAATCCAAAAATAAATGGACCTGCCCACTTCAAAGCCATGTTGTTCAAGGGTCAAGAAGGTATTAGGAATCAGTCTGTATACCCTAACCATAGCAGTGATCTTCCATCCCTTTTGTTAGAAGTAAATTACTTTGTCCAGCCCCACACTCAAGGGGAGGAGGAGGCTGCACAAAGCACCGAGACTAAGACCTGGCTTAGAAACCTGAAACCTGCCTCCCACAGGACCTTCAGTGATTTTTAAAAGAGTATGAAGGGGCCCTGAGATAAAGTTAGAGAACTGCTAATCTAAACATATTAAATTAGTGGAAGATGTGTGGGAATCAATCCCATCCCTGAAAAGGTGTTTTTCTAGAGTAAGACCTTGGGCCTGTGGAGTGAAAATGAAATGAGGAAAGCCCCTGATTTTTGTGGACTTCATTTTCTGAAGAGGGAGATCTTAATGTTATGTATTACATAGCCATTTTCCATCAGCATCTTTTGGGAAATGACACAAACATGACAGGAAGAATAGCAAATGTTGTGAAAGCCAGAACATCTGCATCGTCTCCTAGCTGCTGTGAGAACACAAAGCACAATTTTGTCCTCGTCATTTTAACTTCATGCCATTAGTAGGAAGAAAGAATGCAGGTACTTAGGGTGCCTGATTGAGAGGTGGAAAACTAGCATTAACTAACATTTGTTATTATCCTGTGGGACCTGAGAAGCCCGAATGCGTGGTTTCTTGTCCACATTGTGAAAAGGTTCCGCTACTCACTTTGCCACCGTTTACTTCTGTGGTCTTACTATCATTGGGCAAAAGTTTCCTTATCTGTAAAATGCAGCCATGGATTAGATGACGAAGGTTCTGTCTGTCTTCAGAATTTCTTAAGATGGCCTGCGCTGGGGAAAGGAAAACGAGCCGTCGCAGCTTTGGTAAGGGGTGGCTTCAGGCAGAACTTCAGTGCATGACGTTTGTCTTCAGTGTCTTTTCTGCCATCCCTCCTTTATCGTTCCTGTTACTTTTTTCTCCCTTAGATGGAACCCACTCAATAAATATAGTAAGGCTATTCATTTTGCTACAATATTTACTTAAGCCCTTCATATCATAAAATAGGATTACCGGATTTTGATCACAGGTCTTCGTGTCCAGATTTTCTTTAGCTTTAATGCCTATAGTTTAGAGAGGCCTGGGAGAAAAGACTAAGAACGTACTCTTCCAAGAGCCAAGTCAAACTTTCTTTTTTTAAGGGTCTTTATATGTATGTTACCCTTTAGGAAACTCCAGAACTCCGTTCTCAAAGAGAAGGAGTTTGGGGTAATAATTTTTAAAATGGTTGTTAAAATGTTTCGGAGAAATTTCAGCATGGCTGAAGTCCATTATATGACCCAAATAATTTACAAAAACTGTGATAAGATTTTATTGTAAAATTGTTTATATCAGTCATTTAGTCTGGGCAAGAAGCTGTATTTTTCATACCCATTACTTTCTAAATGTCAAGATAAAATAATACTTTTGGAAGCCTACATTTATCTTTGCTTACAAATATGTAATTGAGAAGAATGTCAGCTAAGCCGTATTATCAATATTTAAGATTTACATATAAAAGCAGAAGTAATATAGATATATGCATACTATAGCATTAGAAAATTTGAAAGGTTTCAGCATTTGATATTGGAAACATTTATTTTATTATTCTTTTCTTTAAGTTTGTTTTTGTTTTGTTTTGTTTTTATAATCTCCACCCCCGTTGTGGGGCTTGAATTTACAACTCTGACATCAAGAGTTGCATGCTGTTCTTTTTTTTTTTAAGTTCTTTTTTTTTTTTTTTTCTTAAGTTTATCTTGAGAGAGAGGGAAAGAGAGAGAATCCTCTCTCTCTGTCAGCTGTCAGTGCAGAGCCTGATGCGGGTCTTGAACACGATTGTGACCTGAGCTGAAATCAAGAGTCGGACCAGCTGAGCCGCCCGGGTGCCCCAAGAGTCTCACGCTTTTCTGACAGAGCCAGCCAAGCACCCCTGGAAAGATACTTTTTAGATGTTTCGGGGTTTGCCTGCCTGTCTTGGTAGGTAGAGCATGGTCATGGACAACCTTGGTCTCCAGGTTGTAAGTTCGAGCCCATGTTGGGTGTAGAGGTTACTTAAAAATAAGATCTTAAAAATGTTTCGGATTACAAAATATAGTTAGATTTTTGGTTCAGGAAGGTCCTCCAGTGACATTACTGATAATGTACCTCAGTTATTGCAAAGGACAGACAACTTTGTGTGTCCCTCTTTGGCTTTTCCCAAGTTTATATCTACTTTCTAGAGTATATGCAAGAAAATCTGTGTTTTTGCAAATATATAAAGTAAGGCAACAAAAGCAGTTGAGAAATTGTAGAGAAGCTGGTCTCAGTTTGGTCAGGCCTTCAGTTCTGGAGATTTGCCAACATGGAGGTATAGGGACAGCAGAAATGGTAGGCAGTGGTACAGTAAGAACTCAGGAAATGACCAGAATACTGAATTTTAGATACCAACACTAGGTTTAGTGAGTTACTTTACTTCTTATACTTTCAAAATTTAAGGGTAATACAGTTACAACAATTGAGCCCTCTGTTAGATTTCTTGTGGAGAGTGTTGTCGTCCTTAAGTCATTTTGTATCCTTTTCATGAAGACCCATCTAAGAAATATCTTTCAGATCCTAAATATCTGAAAAAAGTCTTGTTTTTCTGGAGGAATTGAATGCTGCTGTGCCCTGACTCCTGCCCTCCCAAAGCAAAGTTCAGAACATTTTCTTCTTGGCTTTAGCCAGTAGGATTCTTAGTGCCAAATTATGCTTTAGTTTAATAACTTTACATATTTACATTCTAATTTTATGCTTGTTTTAATCTTCTACTCCTTTTTAATTTCCTTATTTCTGTGTGTTTTACTTTTTTCTTTGCTTAAAAATTTTTGGATGAGGTTGTTCTTAAAATATTTTTAAACAAAGAATTCTCAGCCTCACAAATAATCAAATGGTAAAATTGTAGCAACATTGAGAAACATTTTAAATCATATTATTAGAAATGAAACTAATTATGAAAGTGAACTGGACGCTTTCATATGTGGAAGTGAAAATCTATACAGTCTCTTTGTAAAGCCTTAAAATATCCATATATTTTGATCCAGTGATTTAACCTCTTGAAAATATCCTAAGGAAATGCCCTAAGTTTGGGAAAGGTTTTATGCACAAAAGTGTTTATATCTCCTCCTTTATTTAAAAAAGGTAAAATTTAGAAACCACCGAAATGGAATTGTTAAGTAAACTATTATGTATCTACTTGATGGAAAGAGTAATACCGTTTTTAAAAACCACCAAACAGAATCATGCCGGCTAGCATTAATTAGGCATCTTACTGTGTGCCAGGAGTGTGCTAAGTGCTTTCTTTTTTCATCCGCACCACAACCTTACGAGGATAGGTACTCTGTTTCATACACAAGGAAACAGTCTCGGGGAGCTGGAATAACTTGTCTGGGACCACCCAGCTACTGGGTGGGAGAGCCAGGGTCCAAATCCTGGAGTCTGATTTCTGTAGCTGTACTTGGAGCCACTTCTCATGGTGCCTCCTTATGAGATGAGTCGTAGAGGGAGCGAAGCCTAAAATTTATTTAATAAAGAATAAATAGAGGAGTGCCTCTGGACATCCGACTTCGGTTAAGCATCTGAGTTCAGCTCCAGTCATGATCTGGCGGTTTGTGAGTTCGAGACCCACCTCCGGCTCTCTGCTGTCAGTGTGGAACCAGCTTCGGATCCTCTGTCCGCATCTGTCTCCCCTTCCCCTACTTGCACATGCACGCGCGAGCGCACACACACACACACACACACACACACACACACACTCTCTCTCTCTCTCTCTCTCTCTCAAAAATAAATATTTAAAAAGATTTATATAAAAAAATGAATGAATAGAAGATAATATCTATAATTTTTAGATCTGGAAGGGATTTGAAGCCCCTAAGCTCCTCCTCCCCCATTTAGAGAGGAGTTAAGTTACCTGGCCAAGATCTTAGAGTTAAAAAGAGACTCTCGATTTCAGATTTCCAAGTAAACTGTGTTTGCTTTTATACAGTGGGTTTTTAAAAAATTGAAATTTAGTGATTCCTGTATCTCTTAGCACTGTATGGAAGACAGGAAGACTATATCCTTTATTTTCCTTCTGCTTTTATGTTGATAATTTCTTCCATCAGAGTTTTGTCTGTTTCTCATAGGCTGATAGAAATGAGGTGTTGCTATTTTTTTTTTTTTAATTTTTTTTTTCAACGTTTATTTTTGGGACAGAGAGAGACAGAGCATGAACGGGCGAGGGGCAGAGAGAGAGGGAGACACAGAATCGGAAACAGGCTCCAGGCTCCGAGCCATCAGCCCAGAGCCCGACGCGGGGCTCGAACTCACAGACCGTGAGATCGTGACCTGGTTGAAGTCGGACGCTTAACCGACTGCGCCACCCAGGCGCCCCAGAGGTGTTGCTATTTTTTAAAACAATGATATGTTTATAACTTTAATTGCCGTGAAAGGCATAAGTAAATTGATAACTCTGAACAGTGGTGCTTTAACTTTAATGCTAAATGTAAGTTTGTAAGTAAGTCAGGTTATATACATTATTCAATTTTTCTATCCCCAAATTTTATTTTATTTTTTTTTTTAAATTTTTTTTTCAACGTTTATTTATTTTTGGGACAGAGAGAGACAGAGCATGAACGGGGGAGGGGCAGAGAGAGAGGGAGACACAGAATCGGAAACAGGCTCCAGGCTCTGAGCCATCAGCCCAGAGCCCGACGCGGGGCTCGAACTCCCGGACCGCGAGATCGTGACCTGGCTGAAGTCGGACGCTTAACCGACTGCGCCACCCAGGCGCCCCATATCCCCAAATTTTAAAATGAGTTTGGATTTATAAAGGACCTTTAGAAACAGGGCATAAATTTTCATCATTGCCCAAATTTCCTTTTCTCACATTTCCCTCTTTCAGGTTTTCTCTTCTTCTTGCCCTCTTTTCATTTATTATTTCAGAATTTTTGAGAATACTGCATCTCCAATTGAATTTCAGTTTGAACTATCTGGTACATATTAGGCTTCTATTTTCTTAGTAGTTGGAACATGGAAATTTTTTTTTTTTAAGTTCTCTTTTTTCCTGCCCAAAATATGATGATCTGGTATACATGCTCTGCCGTACTGTTAACCTCTGGGTAGTAATTCTTTTGTTGGTCAGTAGTGTAAGTGTAAGAAGTCTCTAAGACTTATTCTATAAAATAAATATAAAATGGAAAAGAAAAGGAAAAAATAGCTTGGCTTTGATACATGTTTCATATGCATACGTTGAAAAGATGTTCTGAAAAGTTAGCTTGAACAAAAAGTGCAGGTAGAGTAATTATACCACACAGTGAAACCACCCATACTTTGAATGTCATATAAATTGTGTGCCTTCAGTTTTCTTTTTCTTTCTTTCCTCCTTCCTTCCTTCCTTCCTTCCTTCCTTCCTTCCTTCCTTTCTCTCTCTCTCTCTCTCTCTCTCTCTCTCTCTCTCTCTGTCTCTTTAGGTTTATGCAGAGACAGAAATGAACACTAGTCAGTTTCTGATCATCAGTGAGGGGGAAGTGTCAATTTCTGGTAATAGAATGATCTGTGGTTTAGGAAAAGATGTGTGCTTGGGAGTTAAATATTCTGCTTTACAAAGTAGATAACAGTTTTACTTCTTTTAAGCCGTTACCAGATTTATTTTGGAAGGAGTTACTTGAGTAATGTGTATGCATATTCTGAATTTGGAAGCATTGCAGAAGTATGTGTGTGGTAATTCTTTGGGGTACAGTAGTGCTCTTTAAGGGCTCAGGGGGTAGTTACATTTTTTAACTTTAGAGTTTAACTGCAGCACATTTTATAAATGAGAGATACTAAGTAGACAACTTGTTTGCTTTCTTGCATAAAATAGTTATTTGATGAATGTAAGGGGAAGGAAGCAAAAATAATACAAAAACAGGGAGAGGGATAAAACATAAGAGACTCTTAAATATGGAGAACAAACAGAGGGTTGCTGGAGGGATTGTGGGAGGGGGGGATGGGCTAAATGGGTCAGGGCATTAAGGGATCTACTCTTGAAATCATTGTTGCACTATATGCTAACTTGGAAGTAAATTAAAAAGAAAGAAAGAAAGAACGATCATCTGAGACTAGAAGAACTGATTTATTAACTTATTTTAACCTTTATTGTTACCCATTAAGTGTGATGGTATACTGATTTACATACATCACTTATTCTTTTTTTTTACTATGCAACTTTATTTTTTATTTTTATTTTTTTTAATATATGAAATTTATTGTCAAATTGGTTTCCATACAACACCCAGTGCTCATCCCAAAAGGTGCCCTCCTCAATACCCATCACCCACCCTCCCCTCCCTCCCACCCCCCATCAACCCTCAGTTTGTTCTCAGTTTTTAAGAGTCTCTTATGCTTTCGCTCTCTCCCACTCTAACCTCTTTTTTTTTTTCCTTCCCCTCCCCCACGGGTTTCTGTTAAGTTTCTCAGGATCCACATAAGAGTGAAACCATATGGTATCTGTCTTTCTCTGTATGGCTTATTTCACTTAGCATCACACTCTCCAGTTCCATCCACGTTGCTACAAAAGGCCATATTTCGTTCTTTCTCATTGCCACGTAGTACTTCATTGTGTATATAAACCACAATTTCTTTATCCATTCATCAGTTGCATACATCACTTATTCTTAAACCCCCTGAAGTTTAATCAGAAAAGATCACTCTTGGGGTGCTTGGGCAGCTCAGTCGGTTAAGCGTGCGACTTCAGCTCAGATCATGATCTCCCGATACATGAGTTCCAGCCCCATGTCAGGCTCTGTGCTGACAGCTCAGAGCCTGGACCCTCCTTTGAATTCTGTGTCTCTCTCTCTCTCTCTCTCTCTCTCTCTCTCTCTCTCTCTCTCTGCCCCTCCCCCGCTCATGCTCTCTCAAAAATGAATAAATGTTCAAAAAATTTTAGAAAAGATAGCTCTCATCCTGGAAGAACTCACAATTCAGTTTTGGGGAAGGGGGAGACAGATGAATTGATGAAAAGTATAATACCCTGTGATAAATACTGTGAGAACGTAAACCTAGTGTGCTGTGCAAGAATAGAAGAGATTCGTTTAACCCAGGTATTTAGCAGGGAGGAGGGAGAAGAGCCAGAGAAGACTTGTCAAAGAAGACCCAGAAGGCTGGTAGGGATTAAGTTGAGAGTATGGGGGTCAGGGAAGTCCAGTACATTCTCTGTAGTGGACTGAACACAAGAGCATTTAAATAGCATGCTAAGTTTTTATCCAGAATGATAGCTGACATTTAATATAGTGCATATCGTGTGCCAGCCACCATTCCAACTACGTGGTGTGTATTAACTCCTCCCATTTAAACAACAACCCTATTATGTAGGTATTAGAATTATCCCCATTTTACAGATGAAGAAACCGAGGCAAGGATGCAATACCTTGTCTAGGAAACAATGTGGCTAGGAAGTGGTAGCTCCAGAATTCAAACCCAGTCTGTCTCATTTCGGTTTGGGCTTTTACTACGCAAGAACTTAAACTCTGGGTTGCATTGGAGATAAACCCTTTCAATTAACTTGTATTACTGAAGCAAATATGTTATTTTCGTAAAGCAAATATGTTAATTTCGTAAAATGTGAAACCATGAAAGCAGAAAATATGTTCTGCTTCTGGAGGAACGTTGGGCCTCTTCATCTTCTTGCTTCCAAACTTCCTCCAGTTACCAGCCCTCTTATACCTCAGCATGATCCAATTTCTTTGTTTCTGTTCCCTCTGCATACCAGCCTTTCCTTATCTCCAAACATCGTTGAACATAATGCAAATTCCTAAACTCCCTTCTTCTGCTATATGCCTTTAATTCCCTCCTCAGCCCATTGAAATCTGGGTTCTAAAGAGGGATTCATGAGGAAACTTGCTGGATTGTGGAGGACCAGTCTGTAGAGCTGTGCTATTTTTAATTTCTCAAACTGTGCTTGGAAACCCAAGGCATATGAATGGAGAACGCAGGTGGGATCCTCTGGGATTGGGGGCTTTGTCGGGATGTACAGCAGACGGACAAGGAAGCAAGGGGGTAGAAAAGATTGACAAGAAAGTCATTAATGGGCATTGTGGTTTCAGTGGAATTGAGATGGAATTGAAGAAAGGAGCAAATTGATGGTCTGGGGGAAAATGGAGGCCAGGAGGTGTGCCTAACTTACTGGATGAGAAGGGTAGGTCTTTAATGGGATTAAGGGAGTGACAGATCCAGGAGGAGTGGAGTTGTATTGGGAGAGTTTAAGGTATTAGAAGAGGAAGAGTTCTAGGTGATGATGGGTTCAAGATCCGGCCATTGGTGTGAGTGACTGAAGGGACAGTCATTAGAGTGAAGGATGCTGGTCCCCTAGGGTGAGGAGGGGCCTTATATGTACAGTGAGCACTGTGGTGAGCCAAAGAAAGAAAGAATGCAGAATTTGCAAAATGCCCTTTATTATCTCTGTTGCTTGCTGTTAGATGGTAGATACTCATTTTATTAACAGGGATGTGTTTACCTTTGTAATTGACATTTTATTCTTGTTTGCATAGAGTAATGAATGCAAAGGCTTCACGGAAAAGGAACGTTATTTGTCTGATCAGATTCTTGTATGTGTCTTCTTTTTGGTATATTTCCTAGGGTAAGTACTCATGTTAGCAGGATTTTGACCTTATCTGTCATTCTGGGCAGTCTGTTCTGGCATTTTCTTTCCAGAAATCAAAGAGGAGAAAAGGATGTGAGGTGAAGACGTGGATGTATACACATCTTTCCTTCAGAATGTTTGAAAGTTTGGGGGAATGTCCACCCGAGTCAGATAGAAAGAAAGCAGTAATCATGGCTTGGGAAATAATTGTTGTCTTCCTTTTGTTGTTCTTGCTTGTTTTGTTTTAATTGTGTACAGTTAGAATGTTGTAGGTGCTTCTCAGGATTTGGATTATGGTGTTTAAATTTTAGGTAAAAACGGAAAATGATGCTTCATAGTACAGTGTTTTTAATCTTTGAGGATGTCACCACAGGAACATCAGGGGAAAAAATGTAATCTTATGTTTGAGAGAATTAGCTTATTGTTAGCCTTCCCCTAAAAGGGTACTACTTTGGAGCTAAACATTGATGAGCACAAACAACAAAGGTGGTGGTACAGTCTGCTGGTTTTCTACGAACTTTGGCGTAACTATCTTTAGTGGAATCTGGAAGCCCCCTGCCCCCGCCACCTTTTTTTTTTTTTTTTTTTTAAATCAACAGAGTGGATCAAACTGACTCTAAAAAAATGGTTTCTAGTAATCTCATGAACAGAGGAAATCTAAGTGCCTGGAATATATTACATACTTCAGTATTCTGGGGCACTAGAGCATTATCTAAAAAATATATTTTAATAACATCCGGTCTCCTTCTATTGTAAGTTATTTTATTTCTTCAAATTTTGTTACCTTCCTTAGTTATGTGCAGCTTAGATTAGATTGAAAATGAATACACATACACAGACTTATTTTGCTAGGATTGTAAAAGTAAATTAATATGTTATTTTAGTAGTTTCCAAATCGTGTTCCTCAAGGGATCAGTAAAGATTTAACCGACAACCAACTAGTTTCAGATGATAATAGTGAGATCTATGTGTGTGTGATAGAGACAGGTATAAGAAAGTCTCATGAGCAGACTGTGAGGTTTTAGCTTTCACACTAATCTGAAATTCATTTGTACCTTAGTAAATTAGGGCCAGTATTTATCAATATTTTCCTGATTATGGACAGAAATAGAGTTTAGAGAGAGAGTTTCAATGTTTTAGTGAGAAGTTTTCCTTTTGATTTTCTTTCCTGTTCTCTCCATCTCAGGTACTAGGAAAATAGCATTTTTCCAGTAAAAGATCATATTTCTTAGTGGCGCCTGGGTGGCTCAGTCAGTTGAGCCACTCTTGATTTCTGCTTAGGTCATGATCTCAGGGTTGTGGGATCGATCCCCACATCTGGCTCTGCACGGAGTGTGGAGCCTGCTTAGGATTCCCTCCGTCCCTCTCTCTCTGCCCTTCCCCTGCCCTATTTCTCTCTCACTTTAAAAATAGATGAATAAACTTAAAAAAAGAAAAAAGTCCTGCTTTTTAGAAATTCTCCTGGTTTGACAGCCTGAGCTTGTTCTGACTCTAGGTTATTTCCTGCTTGACATAGTAAAGCTTTGCAAAATGAGTGAAAACACCATTGTCATTTTTGTCGTCACTGACTGTATGTTGTGACAGGCTTCGTGATGCATAACGTAAAATAATTATCCATATTTTGCCATTAAGAGACAGTGATGAGAAGATAGGATGTAAGATAACATTAAAATTTTGTTTTTTCTTTATATGTGGATTATTTTAGTCAAATGTGTTTCTTTTCTAAGGGTCGGCAGTTTTCTCCAGGTTGTTAAATGTGTTTTCTTATCTTTTTATGTCCTAAAAGGATCCCTTTGGATGCTTCTACAAATAAAGGCCATCCTATTTGCTATTAGGATTACCTGAACAGACCTCTGGAGAGACTATATTTAGAACCAGTAGTTCAGGTTTCATGTGTTATGTCTTTGCAAATGAGGAGCAGCACAGATGTTTGCAGTTTCTTCATAGAATATGCCTACAAAACAGTAGTCCCACCAGTTTCTCCCTGAAAGATTTGAGGAATTCAAGTGTGCTTTTCCAAAGTGCTGTCCAAAATTAATTCCTCTATAGTTTTACAAATTGGAGAGGGCCATGCAGGAATTGCTAATACGAAGTTTTGTAGGGGGTCCTAGGATCCCTAATCTATTTCAGTGTTCATTTTTTCTCAATGTGAAGGCGAACTAGCACCATAAGAAACTCCATTGTTGATCGTTTGAGAGCACAAACCAGATAATTATCTATATTCTGTATAATTGTGTAGTTAAATTAGAGCTTTTATTAGATTTGGTTTTTTACTTTTTTGCAAACTCCCAAACCC